CGTGTAAACCAGCGATCTTCCTTGGGATCAAGGTGATGTCTGAAGCTCACCCGGTACTGCATTCTCGGTTTAGGAGGTCGCCCTCTGCCTGATGGTCGAGGAACAGGCATCATTCGATGCTCGACGATCTGGTCAATGTCCACTACGCCATCCATGGTTGGGGGCAGCATTGATCTCCGAGAGGGGAATTGGTCTGTGGCACAAAAAGGTGCCAGCTTTGACGCATGGAAAACAAGATAAGTCCGTAAGTGAGCAGGGATGCGAATCACGTATGAAGGCCCATCCAGTTGATCCCCTACAATATCTAAGATCTCCCAGGGCCCAAAGTACTGAGGCATCAGTTTTCTTGAGATTCCTATTTCTTGTCCCACTTCAGATGATTTCACCCAGACTCTCTCACCTACCTGAAAGTTAGAAGGCCGTCTATGTTTGTTCTCAATGCAATCATCGCATCTTGAGACTTCTGAATATGTTCAACGGCCTGCTGCAGCATCTGCTGATATTTGACAACAAACTCTATGCTGCCAGGTGCTGCAGTAGGTTGTCTTTCTGGTAACAGAAAGTCAAGCGCAGAGGGTGGTRCTGTGCACAGCATTGTTGTACAAGCTGGCGACGAGAGKTAACTTCTCGTCCYAGTTATCCTGGGYTGGCTTAATATAATGCCTAAGCARGTGCTGCACTACCCRGTTCATCTATTCTGCTTGGCCATTGGACTCAGGGTGATTCCCTGACGTCATCTGGAGCTTTGTGCCCATTTGCTCAGCAGTTGACTGCCACAGTTCACTTGTGAACCTGACATCCCTATCACTAACGATAGACGTAGGCAAACCGAAATCACGAACCCAATTGTCCATAAACAGCTTGATGACGTGGTTAGTTYTAGCTGTTTCTGGCATAGCGATTAGTTTTGCATACTTAGTAAAACKGTCCACTATTACGAAGAKGTATCTCTTTCCAGACKTACWGGTCWCAAGGGTATACATGRAGTCCATGGACACACTTTGACCAGGACCTCCAGGAATCGGCAAGGGCTTGATGAGCCCAAGCGGAGCCTGAGTCCTTGGTTTGTCTCTTTGGCAAACCTGGGWGGTTTCAACATAACGTTTTGCATCTTCCATCATAGAGGGCCACCAGAATCTCTGAACTAAGTTAGCTATTGTCTTTTTATAGCCAAAATGACCAGTTGCATCGTGACATTCTCCTAAAAA